GAGGGGGCGGGACCAAAGAGTCCCGCCCAGCCTCAGGCCCCGCCCAGCCCCCTAGATCCCGCCCAGCCCCGCTAGGCCCCGCCCAATTCCCCGGTCCTTCCCAGCTCCGCCAGGTCCTGCTATCTCCGCGGTCTTGCTGTGCCCAGTGCTGGCCCCTCGGGGCTCCTGGTTTTTCGTTCCTGCTCGTGAGACACCGCGCTGCGCTTAGCAAGAGCTCGCTAAGCGTTGACATTGCGCCAGGTGGGCTTTGAGCGTCTTTTGTGAAAGGTGCACCTCGTCTGGGGATAGCCCGAAATGAGGGCCCTTTCACTCATTGAAAGCAGACGTGAGAGTTGACTTTTGCCCCCAAAAGGAATAAAGCGGCCTTCGACTCTCAGAGCGGCTCATGCCTAAAGCCATGCCCTTCCAAATCAGCAAACTGTGTCGTGTGCGTGCACACCGAGCAAGCTGCAGCGACCTCTCACCCTCACCCACCCACCTGCAGGGCTGCGGCGCACACTGGAGGACCCTCCTGCAAACCCGAGGCCCGGGTGAGGACCCTCCTGCAAACCCACGGCTCTGGAGGTCCTCTGCCGCGGGCCGGCTGACGTACTCGTGAGACAGAACCAGCACCAACAAAACCCTCGGAGTGCGCCAACGGGACAGGGCCGTTTGCCACGCCTCCCTCAGGTGGGGTGATGCTGGGTTAGTTTGGTGAGACTGTGTGCCGGAGGAAGGAGAAAGCAGTGGCCTCTGTCCCCTTGTTCCAAGCTGCAGTTATGCAGCAAACCTGCTGGTCTTACTCCTTGAGAGTGTACACTTGGGGCGGGGCCGGAGGGGGCAGACTCCAGCCACCTCCCGAATCCTGCAGCCTTACAGGCGGTGAAAGGACAGCCTAGGTGTCAGTGTTGCCCAACTCGCATGAATGTGGAAACCCACCGGGGACCTTAAGAGAAAGGGAGGTTCCCAGAGCACCTGCTGCAGCTGGCTCTGGGGTTTTTTCTCAACAAGTGACACCCAGGGACTCCGACTCGGAGAGACCAGAGCTGACGCCCGAAGTCCTTGACGCTTACAGGACCTGTGAGTAAGTAACATCAGGGGCTGAGTGCAGTTGGGGACGCGGTGGCTTCGTGTTTGGCTGCAGGGGTCATGGCGGGGCGGGCAGGGAGCCATTGTCCCGTTGGGGAAGGCCAAGCTGCAGGCCCCTTCTCCTTTCTCCTGGGGTTTGGGGTGCTCAGGCTCACAGCTGCTGCGGTTTCCACGATGCTGGTCTGGGGGCTGAATCACAGCCATGGACCTAGGACCCAGCACCTTAAGCCCTGCCACTGGCTGGCCCTCGGGTTTTAAGAACGAAAGCGCACAATCTGGAATACGAAAGGTTTTTTCCCCAGGCAGGATTTAAAATGTTGACGAGAAAGATGTTCTGCAATCCTTCCAGCAGGTGGCGAAAGGGAACAAGAAATGGCCCTTGAGGGCCGTGGCCGGGAAAGGGTTAGGCAGGGCTGGCCTGTGTCCCCTGGGCCGGTTCTCTGTGTGCTGGAGCTCCTGCAGCACTTCGAGCTACGGTGCGTGGGTGTCACTGGGTGTCAGTGTGGTGAGAGACGCTGGTTTCTGAAGACACAGGAGGTCATGGTAACCAGATATAGGCAAGACCCCACCCTCCAGATGGTGCGACAGCCCGCCCCGGGCTCCTTGCAACTTCCAAATGAAAGCACAGGGCAAGGGGGAGACTTAGTTCAAAGTGTCAGTGTCCGTGTAGCCAGCACCTGGGCGTCAGTCACCGGGCATGACTGCTGACTCTGGGCTTCCAAAGAGAAGGTCGCATCTCCTTCCAGGAGCAGGGTCTGCAGGGAGCGCGCGGGGGAGTCGGCAGAGCGCTCGAACCCTAGGAGGCTGGAGGAGGTCGGCTGGAGACTCCGCACAAGGCGGCAAGGCCCTGAGGGCGAGAGGGTTTGCTGCAGGGAAGATGGGCCAGGCACGTGCCAGGGCAGTGCTGGTGTTTAGGGATCAGGGAACAACACGGCGGGAGTCCGGCCCAAGTAGGGGGTGGCAGCTGGTGAGCCAAAGGGACAGAGTGGCCCCTGAGGCTGGCCGCCAAGGCCAAGTGCATATCCAGAGACCTGGACCTGCCCCGGGTGCTGGTGGCCTGCCCTCGGAGGGAGGCAGGGCCCGGGGCTGTCTGAGCCCACCCGGCCCTGGGGCTCTTACCGTGAGCAGCGAGGCTCACACTCGCTGGGGTCAATGCTGTCTCATTAGCGGTTTACTTTTCTTAGTCACAGAGAGTGAGCGAGAGCAAGACAGATAAAGCACCCCAATGAGCAGGGCTGTGTCCCCGTTTCTCCTCCACGTCCACCCTGTCGGGACTTGGGGCACTCACGCACACTTGCCCCTCACGTGTCTCAGTCCGCCCGGGCACTCACCCGGCTGTGGTCCGGTACCCTCCGCTGTGCTCGCAACTGGCCCCTTTGCTTTCTGGCTGGGCGAGTTTGCAGGGTGCCCCTCAGCGTACCCGCAGTGCCGTGCACCCCACCTCTAGCTAGCTCCGGAACACACCACCCCAGAGCAAACCCGTCCGCACTGGCAGGGACTCTCAGAGGGCCATTCCCCTTGGAGTCCTGGAGACCCCAGGTTGGCTCCCGCGCCTCGTGGCAGGGCCAGGCTCTGTCCCTCTTCGTGGCTTGGTGGTGTTCTGTGGTGTGGACCACTGCATTTGCCGACCGTGCCGTTCTCCACAGAAGCAGGACTAGGGCCACCCCGACCCTGCACAGCTGAGGCCACAGCGTCCCCAGGCGTCTGAGAGCCGTGCAGAGGGACAGCAGCCCGAGTCCGCGCAGTGCAGGGGCGATGCGGTCTGGGTGCTGGGGGCAGCAGACCCAGTGGCCGGGAGCCCTGAGTGCGACTGAACTCTAACCAATCAGCGTCCGAGGTTTTTAGAGCAGAAAACCACATAATCACAGTAAGCTTTGACCTAGTTTCTTTCATTCCAAGATCTCAAAAGCCCCTTAAATTCAGGATGGAGATTCTGTTGGTAAATTGACAGCTGGAGTAGGCGTTCCGGTGAGTCCCGCCAACACTCTCACAGATGCCCTCCTCGGCTCTGTTACGGTGTCCTCCGGCCGAGTGCCCCCAGGGCTGTCCAGTTTCCATCTGGCCCATCTGAGGGCAGGTCGGGCGGTGCATGCCGGTGGCTTCTCCGGGACGCCCATCCCAGCAGAGCGTCTGTGCAAGGCTGCGGCTCCCCGGTTTGGACTCCGAGCCTCGGTCTGGCCCCAGGAGTGTGGGGTGCAGGGGTGGACGCTCGCTCCGGCTGCCCAGGGACGCTCTCGGGCTCGCCCTCCACAGGGACAGCAGGACGTCGGACTGCGCATTGCTCAGCAAGCCAGCCGGGCCGCTGGCCTGG